GTCAGCCTGCGGCCACATGGGCAGCCAGATGGAAGGGCTGAGGAGGGTCTTCCTGAATGGTGCCTGCCACCCTGACCTCCAGCTGTGGTCCCTGTCCCTAATTTGCAGGCACAGTCCTGGCCTAAGCTCTGGGACCAACTGAGGTCTTCAAGGGGGCTAGAAGATGTCCAAGTCAATGGTTCAGGGACCTCAGCATTGTGTCACCTCCGCCCTCTGTCCTGCTCTTGCCGTGGGCTATGACAACAGCTGAGCTGCTATGCTTGTGTGTCCAACCCTTACCAGGGGGCATAACCTCCCTGGGAGCGTTGCTGAAGCCTTAGGGTGCCCAAGCCTGCCAGGGCCACCAGGCAGCCTGTGGAACCCTTGGGAGGCTGCCATACTGCTTCCTCATCTGCTTCAGGCCCGCACAGCTTTGTTCCAAAGGCTCAAACTCTTCCTGTCTTTGTCCAGGATTTACAAGACTTCCCAGGGAAAGTTGATTTCCTGGTGGTTGCAAAGCAGGCTGGGAGGGTACAGTATGGTCTGAATCCTGTTTCTATGGCAAGGTCCTAGTTTAAGGAATTGCAGGGAAAATAACAATGGTGAGTTTTAGCACAGGATGAACAGGGAAGAAAGGAACGATGGAGGGAACTACATTTGGACACCCTCGTGAGCCAGGAGCCATGCTAGAAAAGCATCCGTTTCCTCTGAGGACCCCCCACCAGGATTCAGCCCCGCAGTGCAGGGACTCATCCTGATTACTTCATAGATGAGGAAACTAGGGATCAAAACGTCTGAGTGGATTTCCCAAGTTCCCCGGTCTTACGGAATGGAGTCTGGGTTCCACATGAGGGCTTGTTCCAAAGCCCCTTTCCTGGTTGAGAACGGACAAGCATTGGGTACAGGATCCGGGTCAGCCTGTGGGCTCAGGTTAGAGCACAGCTGCCTGGCTGACCTTTAATGCATCTACTCTGGCCTCCAGTCTGGTGGCTGTCAGCCTGCTATTGGGTCCAGTGTTGCAGACGGTCTCCTGGAGGCCTGGCTGAGCTCCTGTAGGAGCCAGAGAAGCATTCTTTCTGCCACAATGGGTCTGGGGTGGATCAAGCCCTTTAGGTGAGGTGTTAATTAACTAGTCATTTGTCCCCTGCAGTCTCAAGTCAACCCACTATAGAAAAACACCCAACCTTGGCCATAAGCAGTTTGATCTTATTTTTGGAAAGGAAGTATGCCTGGTCTGCTGGTAGATGTCAGTAACCCCTCATGTAGTTGTGCAAATCAAATACATTCCCAGACATTGTCAAATGTCCCCAGAGTGTGGGCCTGGGTGGGGGGGCAAAACAGAATAAAGGGAACTGAACATTCACTGAGTCTCTACTCTGTGTATATACACTTCTGTTCACCAACTAGCCTAGACATGCTGAAGACATGTTTTACCTCCAGATCTGTACTATTCGAAATAATAGCCATTAAGCCATCCCTGGTTACTGTGCATCGAAATGTGGCTAAGGTGATTGAAGACCTGAATTGTAAAGTTTATTTTATTTCAACTCTTTTAAATTTGAAACCCGAAGCACTGTAAAGTATGTTTACTTATAAAACTCAATGTTTATCTTTTTAGGGCTATGTTTCATTTTAACTGCTTAAAATTTAGCATCTGAGTTGAGTAGAGCTGTAAATGTAAGATTCACATCAGATTTCAAAGAAGTGCAAACACAGAAAGGAAAACATCTTTCATCAGTAATTTTGAAATACTGATGGCATGTTAAAATGATAATATTTTGTATGCATTGGGTTAAATAAAATATATTAGAACTAATTACACCTGTTCTTTTTTGATGTGACTCTAAAAAATTCAAAATTAGGTAATTGGCCCCAATTCTATTTTTACTGAAGAGTGAAACTGGAGGTTTTCAACAGGGGGCGGGTCTGGAGATATGTTTGGTTGTCAAAATTGGGGGATGAAGTGCTATCAGCATCTAGTGGGTAGAGGTCGGGGATGCTGCTGAACCTCTTATAATACAAAGGACAGTGCCCCCAAATGGAGAATTACCCATTTCTAATATCCCGAGTGTGAAGTTGAAAAACTTTCCCCTATAGCATGAATTCTTTGCAAGAAAGGCCAGTAGATTAGAGAGACCTGAAGAGTGAGTTGGAGTTAGTGGAGCAAAGAAGTTAAAGCTGCTGTCACACTTAGTTCTCAGGATTACGGCCAGGACTGTCATGACCCCCTTTCTCCAGATGAAGAGAATGCAGCCCAGAGAAGAGAAATAACTTGGCCCAAATCACCCAGTCAGACAGTGGCAGGGCTGAGATGTAAAGTCCGCCTCAACTCACTCTGAGTGCCAGCCTGTCCTTGCTACGCAACGTGGTTCTGCCATTTGCAGAGCCCGTGCAGATCGGAAAAGAGGCCTCCCGTGTGCTTACCACCTAACATCCGCATCACTCAGACCCGGCATTATTATTTACATCGCCATTATTGCTACCAGGGGATGAGCATTCACAAAACAGCCTTTGAAAGGGACAGCCTGCTCAAAGGGAAACATTCACAGGCACCTCACCCATCAAACGAGGCTGAGAAGCGCGTGGAAGTAAATGGAACACGATGAAATAAGCCTGTCAGAGGAGGAACATTCAGATGTCTGAGAGGCAAGAGGAAAGAACAAATGCGCCTGATATGGAATTGGCTCTGTGTAAAGAAAACATTATTGGACTGCTCAAAGTGAACAGGGCCCAGAGAACAATGGCCCAGCAGAAACGGAGCTGCTTGCACACACTCCGGAGAAGCGCTGTTTCTCAATAAACTGGATGTGGGCACAGTGGTAGGGGGCATCTGTTTCTTACTGTCCCTGCATCCTCCGGCCACTCCCATCTCCCTGGGGTCAGGGTGAGACGGTAGGCCTGTGGCAGGGTGGGGTAAAAGGTGGACACTTGGTGAAGGCCTACTATGTGCTACTACTGAGCAGGACCCTCTCTAGGGTCACCTAATGTCATCTTCGCCATGACTCTGACATAAGCATGATGACTAGTTTGCAGGTGAAATAAAGGTATGCAGCATGCTTAAGGTCCTGTAACGAGGGAGGAGCTAAGAGGCCATTCCTGGGATGTTGGTAGTGATTCACAGGGCTATGGGGGTTGATGACAGGGACAAAGTTTGGCTGCAGTGAATGCCACTGAGGCTTTTCCCAGATCTCCTTTCCCAGGCTGACACACCGAATCTCCAGCTGCTGCAGATGCTGGCTGCTAACTGCTCAGTTACCTCCTTTCCTGCAGAAGTGCCATGAGGCCAAGCGGAGTGGCCTCCTCAGAAGCCTATGTCCCCCCATGGCAGCCCACAGCCAGGGGCTGACACAGTGACACAAATGCCAGCCCCTTGCCTCCAGGTGGGAGCAACTCTATGAAACGATCCATGCCCCACAGGCCCCTGCAGGCTCAGACAGACACAGGTCTCCACATCCTCCCTTAGTTTCTTCCCCTGCCCTAGCCTGTCCCCCCAACTTTCTTCCTTCTGGGAACACTCCTCCAAGAGTGATGTGAACAAGGCTTCCCATCTCAGGCTCTATGTCTAGAGAACCCAGCCAAAGGCATTCATGAATAGTAGGGTATCTGAGTTTGAGAAAGGGGATGAACAAAAGTAGATGGTGAGGTTACTGGATGGCTGGGCCCCTGTCATCTCTGCCTGCCACACCCCCTTTCCACCATAATAACTGACCAGCCAGGGACTAGTAGAGAGGAGGCCACTGCCTGAGCAACAACTTGAGAGAGGTGACAGTTAAAGATTTGAAATCTGCATACTTCTCTTGACCAGAAAGGGCCCCTGAAGTGGACACCTCTAGGTTGGCAGCATCTCTTTTGTCTCTAGGGCCCCACAAGGGACATCAGCCTCTGGCGCAGATGAGCTCTGCATCCCAGTCTTTGAAGAGTAGCAGGTGTTTATGTGAAATGAGATCAAACTATAAGCTGACCCTTGAGCAGCAACACAGGGGTTAGTAGAGCCAACCCTGTGTAGTCAAAAATCCACGTATAATTTTTTGGACTCCCCCAAAGCTTAACTACTAATAGCCTACTACAGTCAACTAGAATCCTTACCAACATAATCATCTCACAACTATTTTGTGTATGTATTATATACTGTATTATAACAATAAATGAATCTAGAGGAAAGAAAATGTTAATTAAGAAAATCATAAGGAAAAGAGGAAATACATTTGCAGTGGACCCACAAAATTCAAACTCATGGTTTTGAAGGGTCAGCTACACTTTGTTTGAGGGAAGGGGCTGGTATTCACTTTAAACAAACACCTACTCTAGACTGGGTACTCCCATACCTGCCCTTTTCACATTCCTGGCCTTGTTTTGCCTCGGAATACAGTGCATGTGCACAGCCAAATGGTGCCCGTTGAGAGGTACACATTATTATTCCTGCTTAATAGATAGAATGGGGATCATCACAATGAAAGGACTTGCTAGGACAAATGGTAGACCTGGGATCATAGCCAGATCTGCTCATTTCCTAAACACAGACATGCTAGGTCAACTTCTTCCCAACCTCAGACCACAACTCAGGTGTCACTTCCCCAGGACCTACACTCCCTCAGTTCCAGGTGTACTTGTTTATTTTGAACACCACACATTTCTCTTTTGTTGCACCACTCATGGTTACAGTTGTATGTTTATTTGTGTACTTTTGGGACTAATGTCTCTTTCCCCTTCCAGAAAGGCAGAAGAACGTGTCTTCTTTTGCTCATCATTGTAACCCTTGGTGTGTAGAACAGTGCCTGGCACATAGTAGGTTCTTTGTAAATATCAGTAGAATGGATGAATGGATAGATGGAGGGAGGGAGGGAAGAAGAGAGGGATGATGGGTGGATGAGTGAATGGGTGGGTGTGTGAATGGAAGGGTGGGTGGAAGGATGAATGGATGGGTGGGTGCCAGTTCCTCTCTGGTGCACCTGGCCTGGAGGACCCGCTGGGTGAGGGCTACCCTCACTCCCCTCCCACCCACGCAGGGCTCCGGTGATCACCTGTGGTGAGGAGGCAGCGTGGAGTCCCCAGGGTCACCTGGGCGCTGCCCATTGGCGCTGACCACAAGGAAGCCAGTCCCCAGGCAGCATGCAGAAGAGAAGGAGAGAGAGAGAGACACGCATGAAAACGTGCGGCATGGCGAGCGCAGCTGCAATTCTTTTGGCTCTCAAGAGCTCACTCTAAACAGCAAAAGAATATCATGATCTAACAAAACAGGGCCTGGAATAGATTTTTAAAAATGAAACAAGAATAAGAGTCACCATTTATCAAGCACCCACAATACACCAGGTATCCTGCCAGGTACCTCACATGCAATATTTCTAAGGCTTAGAACAACCCAGAAAAGCCAGTATTATAAATGAACTCATCATTTTTCCATCCCAATGTCTTCTCTCCCAGTTTTCCCCTTCTGAGTAAGCAGTGCTAACACCCATGAAACTGCTCAACCTGGAGACCCAGGGGTCATCCTTTACCTCTCCTTTTTGTGGATCTCCCACTTCTAATCACTCAGCACGCCTTATGAGCGCTACTCCAGAAAATCTCTTGCTGCTCCCCTCCTACCTCCAACTTCATTTCCACTCCGTGCAAGCCCCCCTCATGTTTCACTTGGATTAGGTAAGAAGCCTCCAGCTGGTCTTGCTGCCTCGGGTCTCCAGCCTTCAGTTGAAACACATGGGTGGCCCATTGTTCTCCAGCCTCACTCCACTCCTCACAGCACACTTTATGTTCTGTCCCAACGTGGTGAACTCCTGTTCATTTTCAACAGTCCCCCTACTGTCTTGTCTGTAGGCCTTCCTTAGGCTCATCACACTACGTGGAACCTGACCCCTTTCCTGCCTCTTCACCTGGCTGACAACTGCTCATCCTTCAGGTGTCAGCTCAGAATGCCTTCCCTCTAGGGAGTCTCTAGGGTCATCTCACCACGTATGGGACAGATGCCCCTCCTCGGTCCTCCCAAAACACCCAGGTCTGCCCTTGTCCTAGTGAAGACCTCACCACATTATGAGCAGCTGCCTTTCCTTCAATTCTGCGATCTCCTGGAAGGCAGTCACTCATTCACTAGTGCACTGCTGAGGGCTTGCATTGTACCTGGCACCTAGTCGGTACCCAGTGAATATCTGTTGAATGAATGAATGAATGAGTGAGTGAGTGAATGAAAGAAAGAAAGAATGAATGAGTGAGTGAGTGAATGAAAGAATGAATGAATGAAGAAATGAAGGATCAGAGAACTGATATAATTGGCCCAAGGTCACAAAACTAGTAATGGGCACAGGCAATATTCAAACCCTTGTCTGTGTGATTCTAATGGTGTGCTTTCAAACCCACCACTTATCTCTCTTAAAAAAATGGTAACAAGAGGCAGGAAGGTGTCTTAATGCTTGATCAAAGGCTGCATGTTTCTCTCATGATTCATCAATGAAACTGTATAAAGTTCTTATGTAAAACAGAGAGAGAGAGGAAGGGCATTTCAGACCAACTGATAAGCAGGAAACACGTAATTTCAAAAATTCAAATAGAAAGCTTGACCAACAGCCGTGAAATATCATAAAATGTAACCACCAGTCAATAGCAATTAATCATAATATTCCTCCCTTAATGGTATAGGGAACTTCTCCATTTTCAAACCACATTCTAAGTCAGGGTTGGCTAACTGTGGTTTGTGGGCTAAATCTGGCTTCCCATGGACTGTTTTCTGTGTGACCATGAGCTAGGAATGGTTTTTACATTTTTAAATGGTTAGGAAAAAAAATAAAAAGAAGGGTAATATCTTGTGACACATGAAAGTTATATAAAATTCAAATTTCGATGTCCATAAATAAACTTTTACTGGAACACAGCCACACTCCTTTTATATTTATTATCTATGGCTGCTTTTATGCCACAATGACAAAGTTGAGCAGTTATGACAGAGTACATATGGCCTGAGAAGCTGAAAATATTCACTCTCTGGCCCTGTACAGAAAAGCTTACCAATGCCTATTCACAGTGGCTATTTTTATTCATTTTCCCCCCAACCTTTTGAGGTAGGCATGATGAGGGCTGTTGGCCTTGTATGTCAGAAAAAGAAATAGCAAGCTTGAGGGGAGAGAGGACACCTGTTCCCAGCTGGCCTCGTTCAGCACCTATTCTCCCATGCTCACCCTTGTCCCTGCCCCAGAACCCCTCCTCTGACCCATTTTCTAAGCTGTAAGTAGGGTGGCCTTCTTGACACAGGCAGTCTGCTTAAACACCTCCAAGGGTTCCCACTGTCTCAAGACAGTGTTCATATATATGTTGGGGGCTGTGCAGGCTCCTTGGGGTCCTGGCTTTGCTTGCCACTGCAGCCTCACCTCTGCTCACTCCTACCCTCCTCTGGTCATACTGGCATTGTAGTCATTGTTTCTTAGCCTCATTCCATTCAAGGTCAGTGGCAGGCTTTCTTGCCTCCAGTGATTTGCACAAGTTACTTCCTCCGCTCAGAAGACCTCCCTGCCTTACTCTCCCACCTTGATCAATATGACAACTGTCACTCTTCTTTCAAAACTTGTCTGAGTGACCACATACCTGGGATTCCACACCCTAAATTGATTAATGGTTCTCTTACTGTGCTCCCACATCTTGAATTTACCTGCATCATAGTCCTTATCATACTGGATTGATATCATTTATCTGCTGCTTTCCCACTAGCTACTATTTGCTGAGTGCTAATTATAAGCCAGGCTTTGCACTAAGCACTAAGCATTAGCTCTTCAAATTCTTACACTGGCCTGTGAAATAAATGGTGTTCTTGTCATTGTTCTGTAGATGGGGCAACTGAGACACAGAGCAGGTAAGTACTTTTTCCAGCCTAGAATCAACGCCTGTCCAGATACAAAGACAAAGTTCTTAACCTCTGGGAAACGAGGGACCACATATCAATACTAAACTGCACTCAATGTTTACTGAAAACGAAATGAATAAATGAAATCCTGGTTTAGTATTTTTCACTTAGTAGCTGTGTCACTTGGAAAATTACATATGTTTCTGAGTTTCAGTTTCTTTACCTATAAAATAGGGATAACAGTAAGCATCTCATGAAGTTCTTCTAAGGATTAAATGTAACACAATTAATGTTTTAATTCAGCTGGCCGTGCAGAGAAGCCTCTCCACGCTACCATGTAAGGCTACAACTCTGCTTAGCAGGGATGCTCAGCTGCAAGGAATAGAAACAGAGGTACTGCCGGACAAGTGCTGGGATGCGGAGAGGTTTTCCTCATGGGTGGAGTAGCAGAAGGTAAGTGAGGGACCATGGGTCTCAGCAGGATGCGAAGGGAACAGGGAAAGGACAAGGACTCTTGTTGTTCTAGAGATGACTAGTGCTGACTGGTGCCTGGCCCATCTCTCCTGGCCGGTCTTAGGCATACGGAAGAACCTGAGTCTCATCAAAGCCATGTAAGTGGAAGAGCACGAGTCATTTCCAAGTGAGGTATTTAAGACCCAGGTTACTACCTCCATATTTTCTCTTCCCCTGCTCTTGGGTCCTTTGAGGCCACATTTATTCTAAATGGCATAACAACAAAGGAACCCTTGCGGCATTAAGCTACTGAGATTTGGGAATTAATTTGTTGTTGCAGCAAAGCTTAGTCTATCCTGACTAATTTAGCAGAAGAAAAGGTGGACGTCCCTTGCTTTATCCTCTGTCACCTAGTCCCCCATCATATGGCTTTTTCACTGGAGGACATGACCTAGCTTTCTCCACAGTTTCCAGGCCCTGCTCATATGCCTCTATGTCAGCCATTAATGAAAACATTGAGACCGTGCATTGAAAACGGAGGTCAGAATGCTGAGTGTCTCCAACTTCCCTTCTGACTTTTACTCCCTACCAAAGCAATGGATATTGAGTACAGAGAGATGCTAAGGGTGAAAGATGGCACTGGAGCAGACAACCTTGAAGATAAACTAATTTCCTGGTTTATTAGCTTCAATATGTTGTGTAAGTGTAAAAAGCTGAGGGCTCCATGAAGCACCTTGTTTTTTCTCTAGATTCCTGGACTTAGCTTGGGCACTGCTAAACACAGGCCAAAGACCCATCACACTCTAATGATTCTGTTATCAGCTATTACTGGAAAATAGGCAAGGAAAGGAGTTAACAAATAGCAGACAGGGAGCCCTGACCTTGTCTCACCCTGTTTACGGTATTGACAAGATTCAAAATGGTGCCAGGGAAATGCCCTGAGCCTTGGCATTAGATATGAGCTACAACTCTGAGGGACCTTGAGCTCTTTATTTAGCCACACGAACTTATATTGTTTCATTTCTTGAGTAAGGGTAATAATAATGGCCACTATATATTTAGTGCATAATACATGCCAGGTTTTATTCCTAACATTGCATTGTAAACCCATGTCAACATACACGACCCTGTGACTGGCACACAGTAGGTTGTTAATGTTTGCTAACTCCTTCCCTAATACTTCAATACTACATTGAAACTTCATCAGAGAAAGTCCAATGGAACTTTACTCTCTTTATTTCTAACCTTTGTCTGCAGCCTACTCACCTTTTCCCCCTTCTTGGCCCCTGATTTGAGAAGGCCCCCTCTTCCATTTATAAAGTGCATCTGGTTTGGAACATCAGAGTTGAGCTAAAGTCAACTCAGGTGTCTTGGGTGTTGAGATCACCCTCATTTCTAGTTTAGTGGGATGAACTGGGGCTTCCCAGGGACATGCTAGTAGGACAAGAATTGGTCTTGGCTTTTGTTTTCCTGGACTCTGTCACACCAGATTTGTCTTCCTGAGTGGGGTGTGTAGAGAAGGTGTGTATGTGTGTGTAGATTTGAACCCAGGTGACTCATGTGTGTGGAGGTGGGATTTGAACTCAGGTGACTCTGATTCCCCATTATTCCATGCAACCTCTCAGAGAAGCTTTATATAAGACAAACCTTTCATATAGAATTGGATAAAGAGGAAGAGAGGCAGGCAGTGGCTATTTCCTATCTGAGAGATAATTCCTGCATCTCACTTGGCTTCTTACGCCACCTGTGGCATGTTATTCTCGTGCCTCTGGAAGCTATGAACACACCAGTCTCCTTCTTGAC